CTTTCTTACACAATAGTATCTAAGATACCCAAATCAAATCAAAGATATATGTACACATTTCCGTGTCTATTTGCGGTTTAATTGACCAGACTTGAAAGTAACGTTGAAATTGAGACATAACATTTTTATGTCCACACTTGTATACCTAGCCAACAAGTGGTTTGAAAGTACAATTAAATTTACTGTAATTGATTGATAGTTATGTATTGCCAGCTGTGCAACTTTCTCATAAGGATCAACTATTGTTACTTTCATTTTTACGAATAGCACCACCACCAACCGCATGGTTTTCAATTCCAATATATTCACGATTTCAAGTTCTAAACCCTTTTCAGTTTTTAATGATAACAATTTAGATGTCAGTGTAATTATCATTAACAACTACTTAGGTATCAATTATTAAACTATTTTACTATTGAAATAGGGCTCATTATTCTGTATTAGTTGTCATTGCCTTATTTTCTAAAGCTTGATACTTGTAATCAGTTCCATTGCCATTAATATAATTTTCCAATTAGTACCCTTGTCATTAATTACCATTACATTAATTTGCAATTAGCAATAAATAGTGTTTACTTTAAGTTGATTTAGAGTGTATACGCGATCAAAAATGAGTTGCTGTCGAGTCACCTTTGGAATTTTTGTTTACATGGTAAATCGTATATGATTAGGTATATGATCTATCGATATCTACATCCAAATTGGTAATTTAGTTCTGACCATCATCTGTGTACAATTTTTTGCACCTTCAAGGGTCATCAAGCCTTGCTATTAGTGGCCTCATTTTTATTGTATTCTCACTTATTAACTACAGCTAAACGTGTACCAACAAATACCTATTTGGTCAAAATAATTTTCTGGGAAATATTTATGTGGTTTAATGTACTAGTATATATTCCTTATTCGCACTATAGATTCACACCTAATGACAGTAGACATCTAAAATGTCATAACATTTTTTGGACTTACCGAATCAGAACGGCTATTTTTGGGAGTAGAAGTCGTTCATTTGTTCCCAAGAGAGCGATGAACGTCCTGTTAAGGTTTTTTTGTGTTTCTATAAGTACAATATGAAATTATATGGAAAAGTGTTTCTGTTGTAAATAACAACATTTTTTGTATTTTAATGAAAGTAGTTTTTTATATACAGGGTCGCTGATAAGTCTGGAAACAGTCGATTATCGGGGAAAATATACACTATCAAAAAAGTTTTATACAAAAAAATTGAGGTAGTAATTTTAATTATAAAAGCGTGGTACACTAATATTGCATTATTTTAAATGGAACACCCGTAGGTATATATTATGCGCGTTAGTAGACGCACCGGAAGCAACATCCGAAGCATCTGAAGACCCGTGCATTTCTAGGTTATTGCGTTTTCGTTTAGTCCGAATTCTATTATCTGATTTTCCGTTTCGTTTGCATGCAAGTCTTTTAAAGCGATTGTTTGAATAGAATTTCCTGACGTTAAATTGGTCCCAACTTTACCTGCCCAACACACACAGTAGGTCCCAGAATATGAATATCTGCTCCATGAAGCATGTCTATGCTATTGGGTTTAAAAAAGCTTTGGGGTCTGCCAATTTCAAGTGACTTGGATTTCTTAATTTTGAAACGTCAATATTCACTGTTGGTAAATTATTCGATATGGAATTTAATAAAAAATGATAACTTTATTGGAAGGATGGATTGAATGGTCAGCTAGCATTTGGAAGTTGTTAGAGCACATAACACTTCTCGTATTTTAATGAAAGTAGTAGTACCTAGTAGTAATTATACATATGATAACTACAAATTTAATAAAACGAGGACAAGCATGGTACCTTCACCTTCTCTCGAATTAATTATAATATCAACAAACCATAGAAACGTTAACAATATTAACATGCATTAACAATAATGGTGGGGGTGTATAGTTTATACGATCATTATCATTAGTTCACTATCAAAAATCAAAATAAACCTGATGCTTGTCTACAATCGTATGGATTACTATGAAAAACATACGATTATAGACGGGCATCAGATGTTCTGTTACCGGCATTCTTTCCTCTCAATGAAATGGTATAGTGTATAGTTATAACTCCCTCTCGGCCTTTTTTATTCTGTGTTATTTTACGTACGCAAAGTCCGAAGCTTAGGAATGGGATTTAATTCAGATCAACCTGAACCATGATGTATAATTTATTATATCACCATGGCCTGAACATTACAGGAAAAGAACTTTTATTATGACAGCGAACCAGTATATTTCTGTCTTCAAAATAAGATTCTGGTCTACCTCCTCATTAGGGAAAATAGTGCTCCGAATTTAATTTCCGAATGATAGTTTTAGAACATAAAACATGACAAAGAGTAAAATAATCAAATCTTACCACTGTTTTCTTTGGATACTATATGGTTTAGGTAGGTACCATATATCGCCAAAAAACCGAAATCGATTTTTTCCTTAAAAAGTTTAACGTAGGTACCTATCATTATTATAAAAGACAATAAGGTAAAAATTCCAAAGGGAAACGTTTTTTACATTCTACCATTATTAAAAGAGCTTTTATGCCCGATTTCAGAAACCATGACTTAATCAAGATAAAGATATGTAGAAGTTTTTTCTTTTCCACGTTTTTTCTATCCTTTGTACTAATGAAGCTATCGTCTTTTGAATATTTCTCAATTCCCAATTCTGTGCATGAGTGTTTACGACAAATAATCCCCCCTGCATACATAATTTACACCGGGGGGAATGGATTGAACGCTACTTCATTTCGGGACGTTCGGTAAATGAAATATTATTTCTCTCATATCTCGGTAACCGAAAATGTATAACGTATAAGTTTCCATACTGATGTGAATAAATTTCTCAAAATTAGTAAATATGAGTTACTCAATGGGATCCTTCCAACTAAAGTATTTTCAATTTTATAGGTATAGGTACGACCAATATTAGTTTACATTTTGTTCTTTTAAACGGGGTGCCCATACTTGTGCTTTTAACCGATTTTTAAATGAGTTAGTTTTAAGCGGATTTTCCAAAGGGAAAATGAACGCTATTGTTCGCACTTTGTCCGTCTGTCCGTCTGTACCACTACTAGTCTGCCAGTTTAAGCTTTTTCGTTGTGGTTTCTTCCTTATACGGTGTAGTACGGCCCAGAGACCAGAACTACAAAAGTATATATTTGGATTGGTCTTCGTCTTTTCACCGTTTATCTTAAATGAACTGTTTTTGTAGAAAGTGGAACGAAACGAAAATTATGCAGCCATTGTCACATCTTTAATTATTAGTAGGCTTTAAGAAAACTATCATGAAACAATTGCTATTGTGTCAAAAATAAAAATAGAAATAAATGTGACATTTAGCACAGTGGTGAAATTTATTTATGTTTTCGTGGATTATTACAGAATAGCATATGTTTCTTGATGGTTTGGTTAAATCAAAGCCATCAACTCATAATTAAACATACCACACTATTGCTGCATAAACGCAATAAATAAAACCGCTTATGTGCTCGCAGTTTCAAAACTGTGAAATTTAGTGACAATTTCTTAACGTCCTGTACAAATTTTTTTGACAGTTTTTAAAACTTAGATAAGGCCAATGCTTTATTTAAGCATAGAATGAATCTCAAATAATTCAAAAACCGTTTTTGATGTAGGCTTATGGTCTTTTACATTACGGCATTACATTTGAAAAAAAACTGAACCGATATAGACAACAAGTGACAAGGTCACTTCCGGTTGACATGTATTGATCAAAATTTAATCAGTTAGTCCCTTGATCATTGTCTACGCATTACTAAAAACAATATTGGAAAATTCGAAATCATTCACGAGTAGTCATGTACACAGACCGACGGACGGACAGAAGGTCCAAAATCATAAACTCGCTTTTTGTCGCTCGTCAATGAAAAAGTGTGAATTATTTTTTGGAAGTCATGCCAAAATCAAGATGTTTTAGCTGAAATGAGCTCAATGACTCAACAGTTCAAAAATCTATTCACATTAGTTTGGTATATAACATTCGACGTTGGACACCCTGTAGATACGTTGAAATGGTATAACAAGTATGGTATTAAGGAGGGTACTAACGAGAAATTTGGGTTAGAAAGTATGTAAGTAGGATGTAAATGCACAACACAGTATAATAAGATACGAAGAATCGCATACGCCATACGGTTTTCAGTAGGGGAATTTTTTGACAGTTCGTTTTCGGAAACGCGACTTTTAATCCGACTCATATTCAATCGCATCTCATATAAATCGATTGGCGAAGGTTTGGCATCGCTGTCCCTTTTCGTTATTTAATCCGTTAGTATCAGAAAATTGTAATGGTTGATGGGCGAGGAGTGGTTTTCACTTCAGATTCATACACCCCAACTTGATTTTGAATGTCCCGCACTTACTCAACATTTCCATCTTTTATTGTGAACCTGTAATTAAGATGCCATACCCTTGAAGACAGGTCGTAGAAGATGAAAAACGCTTATCTCCACATCACCTTGTAATTTTGCATTTTTTCACAATTGAAGTCAAGCCATCATTGCCATAAGAAGACCATGTATTACCATAAATATAGCGATAGTGTAAATAATGATATATTTATTGAGAATGCATTGCCACATTTTATAAGATTCAGGTTATGATTGACAGTTGAAATTGTTGCTCAGTCAGTTTTTACAATTTCACGGTTATTATTTCCGTCTATGTTGATCTTGTCATTCAGTGAACGCGCGTAATTATCATCTAATCAATTCCAAAGATGTATCGAAAGCTGGTGGGGGTTCAATTAAAATCAAGTAGGTCGTAAATATTTGGTCGGCTATCGAAATAGTGAATGTATTAATTAATGGAGAACTTTTAACGATCCAATTTCAAATTTAGGTTGTGTTAATTAATTTCGTACAGGTTGAAATAATTGATGAGTTCGCGCTATCTATGTATGTCATAATCCTCATTTATGAGCTTATTTATCGATTTGTATCGTTACTAAAACCGGTTCCTTCCAGCCAGCATATCAAACGCGAATGCAAATCCGGGAGGGCCTCCGGTTGTAAGATGTGCGCTCCGGAAACACAAACCGAATCGGAAACCACGCACTCCATTTACAACGCAACAACTTATGGCTCTAGAGAAGAAGTTTAGGGACAAGCAGTATCTCAGCATAGCTGAAAGGGCCGAATTTTCCAGCTCGTTGCGACTCACCGAGACGCAGGTGAAAATATGGTTCCAAAATCGTCGCGCCAAAGCGAAACGTCTACAGGAAGCGGAATTGGAAAAACTTCGGCTGGCGGCTCGACCGTTACTGCCACCGACGTTCGGCATATTCCACGGAAACCCAAATCACGGCATGTCGCCATTTTTAGCGGCAATGGTCCAGCGACCGCCGCACTTTTTAAGCTTTCCCGCATCCTTAGAGTCCATGATGCCTACGATACCTCAATCTATACCTTAAGGTTCCTTTTGTAAATGCCCGTATATGTATTTAATGTAAAATAATATTGTATAAATGATGAATGAATTATAAAGTTGTATACTGCTGTAGCGCAAGAAAACTAAGACTGATGTATATAATAGTAATTGAATATAAATAAATTGTATAATTGTGTATAAACATTTAAAGGAATAAATGAAAGTCAGAACCTTTCATATTACACTATCTACCATTTCTAGTTTCTGGGGCCATCGATTTGAATGTGTGGAAATTTACTTTCCTTTGCCGGTTAAAACAATGTTGACAATATTTGTTGATTAAAGACATTTTCAGAAAAATGGATACTTTAGGTAGTTTTTCCTTGAAAATATATATTTGCTTGCTTTGGAATACGCGACTTCAGTAATGGTAAGAATGGATGAACATATAAAAGAATTACTGCTCCGCTATAATGGAATAAATGAATATACTAATGCCTTATACTAAAAACTGTTTCATGATTTTTAAAGAAAACTGCTGTCGGAAAATTGGCTAATTTTTGTCTTGCAAATTTACTACGCGTTATGGTAATTTTAAAACCAAGCGATTACCTGATTATATGGGGGCACTCCTATAAACGAGAATAGCTTTCTCTTCTACCAAGCATATTAGGATTACTGTGGCGCAGGTAAGTCCTTATGAGTAAAGGTTGCCTACCTATTAAGACGATTAAGAGATTATTTATATTATTATTTGGAGATAAAACACTAAAAAAATGTCTCAAAATCTACTCGTTGGTGTTGCCGCGTAACACAACTGTAAATGATGAGTAGGTAACGAGCAAATATAGACCATAGCAGCTCTCGATTAGCGAAAACCCGAAGTCTCTAGGTGGCACAGGAGCCGAGATCTTGATGGAACAGATAGACAAACAGACAGACGACGGTGTTACACTAAGGGCCGGTATTTCCATCTCGGGATAAAGTCAAGTATAAGATATCTTCCAGGTAAACCGACAGTTAGCGTCGCTTCGGGTATTTCGAACCTCGTTTAAATATTATCGGCAGGATAAGCTCTAGATAAAGTTATTGGGTAGATTTTCTGCAGTTATCAATATAACCCCTAGATATTGCGTAAAATTACTAGTAGACTGGTGACGTTTTAAAAATTTGCGAAATTACCAACCGTACCTATACTAAATAGGAAGAAAGAAATTGAAGTATGCAAGTAGAAGTACTCAAATACATACTATGTTTTCTTGAAGGATATAGGTAACCTATTTTAAATTCCAAATGGATCAAGATTTTCTTGACTTATTCGAATCCGATGACGAAGAATTATTTGAGGTGATCTTTGCATACGATTAGCTTCGGCTGTACGATTATTAATTCCAGACTTTGCATTACATTGTTGGGCAATATGAGCCCAGCAATTATTTTTTTCTGCCCGAGTAACACCCATCACTGCGTTTATTTTCCAGGACGTCCTTGTACTCGATAACCAAATCCACAAGCACACGATTTTCAGATGTGCTGAAATTAGCAGTTCTTTTCTTTCTACGAGGTGCATTTACATCACGATTTTGGTTCATGTTCAGAGTACCTACTCATAAGTAAGGCTTATTCTGTAATTTACGTTTGACAAATATATTATAAGTCACTGAATTTCTTTCAAAAACAAAAGCATTCGTTCAAATTGTCAGGTAGTAAGCTATCTTTCTCTAATATATGGCTCTGCAGGTCGCTATCTTTTTCTATTACAGACTTCTAAAATCGGCAACATTGGCTATGGTTAGGTAGCTATCTACGGGATATATTTATACCGCACGCCAATGGAAATACTCGCAGATAGATAAACGGAAGATATCGGGCGGTATAAGTTATTTTGCAGGTACGAATCTAGTACTTTATCCGAAGATGGAAATACTGGCCCTTAACCAAACAAATATAGAAATCGGCTAGTTAGCGTCTGAATAGGTAACATCCTTAGTCTAGAAGAGACATTAATATTTTTAATAATAATAATTTTGCCCTCCACCTCCCGCCTAATAGGGGTGCCAGGAGCAGATTAACGTGGCCCTACGTCGGAACATTAAAAGGGAGAATCAAACAGCATATATATGTGCCAATTTTTGGACCTAAGCACCCAGACTATATCTTACTGTCACTAACAACTTCTGCCCAATAATAATTTAGAATGCCCTCACCAACACGCCCCAACACACAAAAAGAACCAAGATTTGAATGTAGCGCGGAACGTCCGAATTCCGAGATGTTAGTTAGATGCTCTGCTTGTAATTTTTCCCCAGACTTGTCAACTGTAGGGTAAGTCAAGATTGTAAGTTCGCCTTGAAGGACCCCTAACTTCATTACAGATTCAAATCTCTGCCAACTACCACAATCGACTCCGACGAAATTCTTAGAAAGAACCCAGGCTAGACCTTTTTCATGGGGTCGTTGTTATGTAATGTGACATATTATGTATCAAAAATCTCTAAACCTTCCCCATATAGTTTTATTCGTTGAAGTTTTTTTAAAAATAACAGCGAAAAAAAAAAAAAACTTCAACGAATAAAACTATATGGGGAAGGTTTAGAGATTTTTGATACATAATATATTTCAACCCCCATTTCGAGGAACGATGGATCCAACTCAAAAAAATGTAATGTGACCTTGGAGATTAAATTTTGAGAAAACAGAGGAATTAATTAATTCACACGAGCTCTGCACAAACAGCTACAGTTATAATACTATTTACCACGCACGAATACACAATTTGTAAAAGCACGAACTATTTATGATTCGGCGTCGTAATTGAAACTGTCCTGTAACGCATACCGATTTGCTTATGTTAAGTCGAGTCTTTCCGAGCAGTCGCGAACATTCTAGTCATATTTCCCAGAAAGATTACGTCACATCTGCCTTCTCTTTTTATTGCCGATGACTAGTCTTACATGGCGCCTCGATGTCTATCGAATTTTCTGGAATGTTCGCTACACTGCCATGGCACAACGATCCCCTCGTGCATCTTCCATTCCTGAAGAAAAAGCCTTATGAATCGATTGCGGCGTTCCTGTGGAGTTAAAGCATCGGACCAATATTTCCACCTCGGTGCCTTGTCATCCAATTTCCGTTGCAGGTTTTCGAAGTACTCGTTCGCCACAGTTTCTTCTTGGCCGCGTCTTGTACTGCAAATCGCATGGCAGCCTGAATTCCCGGCCAAACAACACGGAAGCTGGACTCTGTTCTGTAGTTTCCTGCACCGCAGAACGGTTCGCCATAATGCAGATATTGATTCCAATCACGCTGATGGTCAGACACAACTTTTGGCAAGTACTTCCCTATTGTCCTATTCATACGTTCTACCATTCCGTCTGCAGTTCTGGTCTTTCGAATCCCTAATAGGTAGTTGACACAAGCTTTGGAATACCGCCGACTCAAAGATTCGTCCCTGGTTAGTGTAGTTCCAGGGGCACTCCAAATCTGCTAAAAAGTTCTTTTACCAGAACGTCTGCCACAGTTGTCGCCTCTTGATTTGGTAGAGCGTATGCTTCAGTCAATTTGCTGCAATAGTTCATGGCCACCAAGATATATTTATTTTCAGCAGCTGTCTCTGTGAAAGGGCCTGCTATATCAATGGCTATTCTTTCTAATGGACTATCCACATGGTATTGCCACTGAGTCCAATACGCCTGTAGAACTAAACCATATCGACACACTTCTTCCCAGGTTGACCTTTTCTCTTCCTTTTTCCAAGTTTATCACCAAACGTAAATCACGGTCATTTTCTTGAGCCCTCCGGAGTTTTCCCTGGCTATTGGCCACCTAATGTACTGTCTGCACAATTTTTGTTGTCTCAATTTTTACCCCGGCCTCACACCGCAGTCCTGATCGTTTTGTAGAATGCTGCCGCATGACTTTTCACCCTTTCTTCTAAATTTGATCTTCTTCATCTGTCACGCGAGCAGTACCACAAGACGTCTCCGAGACATGTAACTTGCTTCATTGGGAATTATCGAAAATGGTCCGTTTTTGTTTTCTATATAAGCAAATTGAATCTTGTGGGAAGTTCCAACATCGATGTCGAAGTGATTATTAGTAAAATTCGCGCTCGTATGTTGTCAATTTATATTTTATAAATTCATTAATAATTAATTGAAAATAATTAAATTACATACATAATTAAATTTGCGTTACAATGTGTACAATACCTACATAAAGCACATGTTTTAAATCATGTTTGCTTTGACAGCATTATAATTGGCTTATGGTTAATCCTACGATGAAAACATAGAACCAATTTTATCAGCTACAATTTTTGTAAAAACGATAGTATATGAGTGATAGTTTCTGAGACGACTCTCACTTTACTTCCCAAATTATTAACCCTCTCTATTTTTTTTATATAATTGTATAAATTCCAAATCTTTAGGAATTTTTTCCGCTGATTGTCTAATGCATTATGCTAAATATTGAATTATTTACCCACCTTACAAGCTCATAATATTACTTACAGTCATCTGTTTTGCTTTTTTAATTGCTTTTGTTAATTTTTTGGGTATGTGTGTATGCTTAAATTAGTCTATTATAAATTCAGAAGCGACCCTGATTTCATAGCGCCCATACTTCACTCAGCTATAGACCCATCTGCGACCATCACCATATTATCTACAATTTTTTAAATTTTAGTGCAATATATTAATGTGTTAAATAACACAAATGCGTATCAAAATAAATTATTACCCGCCGATAAATTTTTTTTTAATTCAATTTATCAATTTCACACGCCACGCCGCCGTTTAAAAAATTGTTGTCATAACGATGGTCGTATATGTTGGTACCAAATTTCAATTTACATAACTTCAAAATTAACACAAAAACTCCACGTGGCTTTATTAATATTTATATGGAGCATAATACTAAATCAGTTACATAAACAATAATTTATAAGACAAGTAATTAGTTTTCGAAACCGTGCATTCCCATACAATTAACTGCTACTGAATTTAATTTATAGCCAAACGGAATGTTGACTATTAATAATTTAAATGTTAATTTGTTAATTAATGATACAAATTGCTTTTCTGAAATGTGTTTTATGTTTTTTCAATATAGTAACTATAGTCATTATACTTCAGCTGCTTTGGTGCCATTATACTGATAGATCTAGATAACAGAAATCTATAACGAGACTCGTCCTGGACGTATCAGCGACATTTTGCATTTAAATTCAGTTATCCTTTTCAG